AGAAGGTCCACAGTGTGTGTATTTTGTGTAAAAAAAAACAGAAACAAAGCATGAGTAGAACAAGAGAAATATGAATTTCAATCTTGTGCGAAAACTTTTCGATCACCCGTTATATTAACAGCATGATTGAACATACCAAACACAAATCTTCAAAACTTTTTTTTCTTAACTACTTCTCGATTATTCGAGAGAATGCTGATCTCGATCGATGATCGAGAGAGGACTTCCTAATTGGTCCGACGGATATCGGACCAACTTATAGCCAGTCAGATCCCAACATCTGACTTGCTGGAGTTATTCGAGAGGAATAATGAAAATAAATTGAAAAAGTTTTAAAGAATGCAACAGGTTTTATTTTATTGTGCATCCAAGATTTTATGGATTCTTATGTAAGACCTGAAATTAGATTCTGGGTACAAGATAATACAGTTGTCTTGTACCTAAATTCCCAAGATCCATTAACATATCTGTACCTTGTATCTTGACCAAGATCTTGCTTACAAGACGTTTGTCTAGGGCATTCATGGAGTGTTTCCAATTGAAAACTGCATTATTTCTTGGATTTCGAGCATTTCTGTTATAGATGCAACGGTGACAATTTATCACCGTTGTATCATCACTGTTTCACCGGTCACTTCTGGTAACCGCAGGTGCGGTTACCAGAAGTGACCGATAATGTAAACTACGGTTATTGTCGCTTTTACATCTTTAACTTCTTTGAATTTTAGAAAACCTTGTCTTCCATGGCAGATTCAGCTGTCGGTCTAATAAAAGGTGGCATCTCTTTAGCAATGTACCTAAAGGAAGCCTACGAAGGATACAAAGAAAACAATGAAGAATGTAAACGGCTTATTGCAAAAGTTGATATCATTAAAGATGAGTTACCAAAGTTACAAAATTTTGAGGAAATAATGGAAACCAACAGTTCTGCGGAGGCAGATTCAACTATGAATTCAAAAGACAGTTTAAAAGAGTCATTGAACATGTTAATCGAGGATCTTGAAGTATTCAAAGTATTCCACGAAAAACACAGAAAAAAATTTAAACCATTTAAATTCTTATTTCACAAAGGAGCAGCAAAAGATATAGAGAAATTAAATAAAAATTTGGAAGCATCGTGTGGTTTGATTATGTTTCAAGTGTCTATTATGGATAAAATAAATTCCCGGCAAGATCAACGGGATATATTGAATAAAATAGCTGAAATGCCAGCAAGAATAGCAAAATTATTGGCTGAAAGATTATCGGTAACGTATGAATTTCGTTTTAGAATTCGAATATAGTGAAGTTACCGAAGCCAGTTGATATAAGGATGAATATTCATGTAAATTCAACTATTTCGAAATACAGTGAATTTCATCCAGGCTAGTCACTGATGTAAAAATATCTCAGAATGAATAGCATTGTAAAACTTGGGTGTGTTTAGTCTAATCACGCTAAGATTCGCCCTCCTGTATTTAACTTAGTAATTTAATCTCATAGTTTCATCGATTGTGAAAAAATTGTAACTTTGGTGGCGAAAGTGATTTCAATGCATCTGGTATCCCAGGAAGAATGAGCCTCTTACCATCTTTTATTCGTTAGAACTAATTTTGTTGTGATATTCTGCCTTTTGTGCTCTGCAAAGTTATGACTAATTTAGTAAAAAGATTTACCATTATCGAAAATTCGTTTTAAACGAGAATTTCAGGACAACCAAAATTGCGAAGCAATATCCTGTCGAATATTCTTTGATTAGAGTTGTCGATTGCTTTTCAAAAGTTGTAATTTCATATTTTACGGCTATCGATAGAACATTTTCGATATATCCAGAATGCGCTACTATGTCTTAGTAAAAAAGAGCAAGAGAATCATTCTTTTCAAGCAAGCAACCTACCAGACGTTGCCTTTTTAAGAAAAATTGTGCTTCTTTTTCATGAAAACTTTCTGACTTAATTCAGCCCAGTTAGTTGTCCAAATACATTCTTTTTAGAAATTTTATAATCTATTGACATTTTCTCATTTGCTCATCTAAAAATAAGCGTTTTTCGTTTGCTATTGTGTTTTTCGGATTACTTTGATTTGATTGTTGTCGATTAGGCATAACATCTCAGAATATGTCACAATATTCGGTGCACCTTTGTTTTAGAAATCCCATATTCATTGACTAAAGTTCTAATGAGGTTCTTGTTTTTGATGCGCTTATGCTTGAATTTTTGAATAATTTTAGTAGTTCCAGTTAAACGTGGACCCATCCAATGATATTTATAAATGAATAGAGCTGGTACTTAGAATCATCTCACATACACTTTTGAAGTATTAAATCTCACGCATCGATTCAGATCCTCACTGATCTTGCTCGAGTGATCGTCGTCTTCATATTTACAAAAAACTAGTTTTTGAATATCTCTCCTTTCCGTTTTAATACTGATCCAAAGTAAATCTGCATAAAATCTGAATTTTTGGCTTCAGCAGAGGACATCGAGATGAATCTTTAAAAAACAAAAACTTATCCCTAACCCAATAACAATTGACGGAGATATCAGTAAAATCTTGAAAGTTGTTCTTCCTAGGACATCCGATATTAGTACTAGTCAATGAACACTTGAGATATATCCTCGAAAAAAAAAGCAGTACGAAAAAATTGTTGTTAGATTTTCAAATGGAAAAAGTTTTTTAAATATTTTACATTGTTTAGTGAAGTCTTGTTACTGATGATAAGTGTTCTGTTAATGTTACTTTCAAACTTTATCGTAGCTATTGTATACACGTCCTGATAACTAGATGTTGATCAAAATATTCTGATACATAGAATTGGATAAGATATTCTCACTAAGGCCATGCAATTTCGTTATGTATCATTCCAGTTGTTAGTCACAATACGAACTGAAAAAAATCGAATTCCTTGACAGAATCTCCGAAATAATTGGAACCTTAAATTAGACTGTCTAATTCAGTGAGGTACACACACATAGATCAAATATAGACCCGACTTACCATTCGATAAGGTAATATTTTGTATGAAAAAAGCTATATTCTTTGATTATTTGAATTAATTATTAAAGAACATGTCAGATGATTATTTCGATTGCTGGATTTCGAATTCTTTTCTTAATTGAATCTATCTAATTCTTCATAGGACGACTCTGGGAAATACTGTCTTGATCTATCTAAGATAATTAATATAATCAAAAGAAACTACAAAGAAAAAAGTCGCATCCCTAAAATCTTTAATGAAGGAGAAGGTTATTCAATTGAAAACAACTTCATCAATTTGGCTATAGTTGAAATGGATGATCAAGAACAGAAAGAGAAGAATTTAACCAAACAGAATAGATCCTATGGCAAACAAGAACGCGCCTCTCTAAAACAAAAATTTAATACTAAATTGTCAAGTGTTTATCAAAAGATTCACAGTGTAACGTCCTCCATTAGTGCAGAGAGTATTTTCGACAAATACAAAGATCATGCAAAGAAGTTGTTGCTCTGTGGACGAACTGGAATTGGAAAATCAACGTTTTGCAAGTATGTTACTTATCGTTGGGCAAAAGATGAAATATGGTCCAAGTACGAACTAGTTGTTCTAATTTGTTTACGTAATTTGACAAGTGAACGGTATTCGGCGGATATTGAATACACACCAATACATCTATTAAAGACTGAATACTTATACGGTAAAGACTTATCAAACGAAACTTATGAGCTTTTTGATCAGCAATGCAATGAAGGTAAAATTCTATGGATCTTGGACGGCTACGATGAATTTCAGGCGAATGGTCCACAAAACTTAAAGAAAACAGTCGAGCTCGTCACACAGCATGATTATATAGTAACATGTCGACTGCAGAATTTTCCACTAATGTCTGATGTGAAAATGGAAATGATAGGCTTTATTGATGATGATATATCAAGGTATGTGGCGCAATTTTTTGAACAGATTGACAAAAAGTCAGAACAACCGCCCAAAAATACTTCTTTCAAGCAAGAAGAGCTCGTGAAATTTTTACGTCGACGTCCTATGTTATGGGATGTTGCACATATACCTCTATTACTAGAGTTGATTTGTAACTTTTGGGGCAATAGAGACTACCAACTTCAGACAGATGATTTTACGATAACTACGTTATACACACATTTGATCCAACAATTAACTGAGAGATATTTAAGGGGAAGAAAAAATAGTAAGAAAGCGAATAATACCTCAGCTAAAACCAGCGATGCTTTTGTAAAAATATTACTGCAATTCCATGAAACATTGGCTTTTTACGCCATGTCATCTAAAGAAATGACAATCCCGCCCGATATGTTCGAAAAAGCTCTTGAACAAAATAAATTATCCTTACAAAACCATGTAGAACTATTATCATTTGGCATTCTGAAAGCATTTGATCCGAGCAATGTTAAAAGTGATGACTTAGCTAAACAATCGCATTATTTTCTTCATTGGAGTTTTCAAGAATTTTTTGCTGCACGATACATGGTTCGACAGCTCGACTCTAGTAATTCAAAACAAGTGATCGATTTCATCAAAAAATACAAATATGATCAGCAACTCACTCCCGTCTTGATATTTACTTCTGAACTATGTGTCTTAGAAGATCAGAAAGAAATAACTACACTTTACTCCATCATCGACGACACACCAAGGGATCTATTAGGACTACAGCATACAAAACTACTTATTGAATGTTTCGGTGGAACGTTTATTCATCTCGAACCGCAGAAAAAGAGCAATTTCTTTGACTTAACCATTGAATGGCTGCAAATTTCTATCATGGATCCACACTATACGGTTATTGATCATCTTAAATCTTCATTGAAACGACAACCTAGACTACTCGAAGAGGAAAAGATACAAAACACATTTATTTCTCTCTTATCAATCGATGATATAAAGACACTTTATGAAACACTCAGACTTATATCAATGCTACCGTTTCAACAACCATCAAAGCTACTCGTCCAAAAAATACAAAAAACTTGTTCGCATGAAAGTAACGATATCAAGGAAGCAGGAATAATAGTACTAGCTCATCTTGTCGTCACAGCTAACGAAAAAGACAGCGTTCGAAAGCTGCTCCTAGAATTATTACATGATAAAGAAGCAAACATACGACAGTTGGCATGGGAGGCTCTTGGTGAAATAGGTAAAAAAGTAGAGTGGACTGAACGTATTGTTGAAGAAATACGACAAGGATTGAATGAACAAGATGACGACGTTAGAGTAGCGGTTTGTCATGCTCTCATCAGTCTTGTTGCAAAGACGGATTGTGACGAAGAAATACTAGTTGGGTTAAGTGACACACTTATGCATAAAAATGAAATTGTCAAAATAGCAGCCTGTGAAGCTCTCGCTTACATAGGTGAAAACACAGTGGATAATCGGCAAGCCATGAAAGGTTTGGAAAAATTACTCAGTGATCCTAATGATGATGTGAGGAAAAGTGCCTGTGAAGCACTCGGTAAGATAGGTGAAAGAGCACTGTCGAAAAAACAAATCATAAAACAACTGGCCATAGCATTAAGCGACCCAACTGACGACGTGCGGCAAAGTGCGTGCGAAGCCCTTAGTAAACTGGGTCAAGAAGTAGTTGAAAACAAGGAAGCAATGGCTGGACTCGGCAGGCAACTTAGTGATCAAAGCGATCATCTTAGACTTAGTGCACAAGGAGCCCTCAAGAAGTTAGGTGAGAAAGCAGCATCGAATGAGCATATAGTGTGTGAACTGATCAAAGCCCTTACCCACGAAAACGACGTTGTCAAAATAGAAGCCTGCAGAGCCATAGCCCAATTAAGCAAACAAGTATTGTGGGACACACAAACTGTTGCCAAACTTGAAGATTTGCTAAGAAATTCGAAAGACGAGGTGATAGTAGCGGCTTGTCATGCCCTCCACCAAATAGGCGAAAGGGCAACATCCAACGAAAAAGTGAAAAGTCGACTAGTGGACTTACTTAGCCATAAAAGTTATCAGGTACGATGCGGTGCCCATACGGCCCTGAATGCAATTGTTGAAAAAGAAGCAACTACCGAACTAGTAATGGATCGCCTAACGAAAATGTTGGGCGATCCAAATATTGACTTCAAAAAAGCGGCACTTCATGGGCTTGAGAAAATCGGTAAAAATGCAGAATTAAATGAAAATGTCATGTCCGGATTGTCAGCTGCACTGAAGGATTCAAATGATGAGCTTAAAATTTTGGTTTGTCGTGTTGTTAGTGGAATTGGTGAGAAAGTAGCATCAAGTGAAAAACTCATGAATGCACTGGCAGAAGCAATAAAAGATCCGAACGATGAAGTCAAAATAGCAGCTTGTCACGCTGTCAAAAAAGTTGGTGGGAAAGTAGCATCGAATGAAAAAGTCATGACCAGTCTAGGAGAAACGCTTTTCAATAAGGAAGATATAAAAAAACTGAGCTGTGAAGTTCTTGTCAATATCGCTGAAGAGGCAGTTCGCAATAATACAATATTTGCTCAACTGGGGGAAGCAATTTGTCAATGGAAAGATAATGCGCTTACGGCTGTGATTTACGTTCTTGAAATCATCAGTGGCAAAGCAGCACTTGATCGAGAAATTCTTAATCAACTCGGTTCCGCACTTAGTCACCAGAACGATGGAATTATCATAGCGGCTGGTCATTCACTTGGTGTGTTAGGCGAAAAAGCAGCTTCGGCTACAGGAGTCATGAAAGGTTTCTGTAAGTCTCTCACTTGTAAGAACACAGAAATTAGAAGAAGGACATGTGGACTTATCTGTGAAATGGGCGATAAAGTAACATCGAATAAACGAGTCATAACTGCATTAGCAGCAGCACTAAGCGACGAGAACGACGAGGTCAAAATAGCAGCCTGTAAAGCAGTGGGTGAGCTCGGTGATAGAACAGTATCTGATGAACATATCATGACTGCATTAGCAGCAGCACTGAATGACGAAAACGACGAGGTCAAAGTATCAGCCTGTGAAGCGTTGGGTAAGATCGGTAATAGAGCAATATCGAATGAACAAGTCATAACTGCATTAGCAGCAGCACTGAGCAACAAAAACGGCGAGGTCAAAATAGCAGCCTGTAAAGCAGTAGGTGATATTGGTGCTGAAGTGACATCAAATGTAGAGATCATGATTGCATTAGCAGCCGCACTACGTGACGAGAATGGCGAAGCCAAAACAGCAGCTTATGAAGCAGTGGATAAGATGGGTAATCGAGCCGTATCGAATAAAAAAGTAAAGAAAGCATTGCTGAAAGCACTAAAAACTCCAAATTCTGAAGTCCAAATAATGGCTTGTAAAGCGCTCGGCAATATACGGGAAAGAGTAACATGCAACGAAGACAATATGGTTAATGTGCACATGCAAGTGGATGTGGAGAACGAGGACAATACGTATGTGACTGAATATGACCTAACTATACCGAGAGAAGGGTTGCGTAGCAAAGTCGTGGGTGGACTCGTGCATGCATGCAATGATCAGCAACCGATTGTAAAGCTTAATGCTTATCTAGCTCTTGTAGAGGTACACGAAACAACACTGCCCCCTAACATCCACGGGTGCACGCTGATGCGTCATTCTGCCGAGTACATCTCCTTAGAAGATTTAGAGCCAATAATTTCCAATGAGTTGATTGATGAGGTTAGAAGCATAGGAATACTTAATAAAGAAATCGTGTGCAGACTTTGGGATGCAATTATTGATCCGGACCACAATATTAGAAAATTGGCATGTAATCAGGTTGGAATGATAGCTGAAATAGCAGCAACGAATGAACTGATCGTAGCTGGAATAAAGAAAGGATTGCATGACCCAGACGTATCCGTTACAGTAGCGGCTTGTCGAGCCTTTGGTAAGATGTGTGGAAAAGCATTATCCTATCAAAAAATTATGAATACACTGTCTAAATTACTCCACGATAAAGTAGCTTTCGTGAGAAAATCAGCACTAAAAGCTCTCGTAGACAGTTGTGAAAAGCCAATCGCAAATGAAAACCTAATCGCTATTCTGGTCAAAGCCTTGAAGGATCGTGAACAGATTGTTCGAGATTATGCCAGCGACGTTCTTGATAAAATTGCTGAAGGGATAGCTACGAATGAACATGTCAAGATTGGACTCGCAAAAAAAAAGTGGGATGAAATGTACAATAACAAATGGCGTAATCTCTTAGCAGTGACCATTGATATTAATCCACTGAACAATTCTGAACGCACAATTCGCCAATTTAGGGAACCAAAACTTTACGCACGCCGTTGTATGCTGAAGGAAGTTTGTTATCTGCCCGAGCCAATTTGCATACGTCAGACAATGTTTGATCGCGAAATGTTATTTTGCGAAGGGTCTGTTTGGAAAATTGAACGCCGAAAGTGCATCGATCGAAACCGCATATATCATCAACTCCGTTGGAGCGTCGAGAACGGAGAAGAAATCACTACCGAAGAATTCGACAAGCTGAGTACATTTCTCAGCAATGAAGATGAAACTCTGGTAATAGAGGCGTGTGAAGCCCTGGTTGAGATCGGCGAAAAAGCAGTTTGCCATAAACAAGTCATGAGCAAACTGTTAAAAGCATTCAGTGATCAACGAGACTGTAAGATTTCGTGTCAACATCGCTCTTCAGGAAATAGCTAAAACATTTGGATCCAACAAGAATTTCATGTTGTTTCTGGCCAATAGCCTGATGAATCCTGATGTCGAAGTGATTATAGGAACTTGCCATATGATCGGCGAGATAGGTGAAAAGGCTGCAAGGAGCAAAGATTTAATGAATAAATTGATAGAAGTACTAGCTCATAATAGACACGAGGTGATCAGACGAAAAGTTTGTGAATTGATTGGTAAGATTGGTAAAAAAGCAGCATCTAACACAAGACTGATGATTTCTATTAGCAAAGTAATTGGCGACCAGCACGAGTCCGACGATGTTAAAATAGCGGCCTGTTATGCCCTTGGTGAGGTAGGTGGAAAACTAGCTAACAATGAAGATGTTATGGACGATTTAATAAAAGCACTTAGCAACGACAATTGCCTCGTCGTATACAATGCTTATGAAGCCATCAAAAAGATAGGTGATGAAGCAGTATCGAATGAACAGATCATCTCTGAACTAAGGGAAGCACTCAAAGATACGAATGAGGCAGTTAGAAGAAAAGCGTGTGAAGATATTTGCAGTGTAGCTGATGAAGCAGGATCCGATAAACATATCATGGCTGGATTGGGAAGAGCACTCAGTGATGAAAGCAAAGAATTAATAATCGCAGCTTGTAGAGCTCTATTATCCATAGGCGAAAGAGCAGCAGACAATAATAAAGTCATGGATGGATTAGCAAAAGCACTCTTACATAATGATGTTGATATAATAACAGAGGCCTGCAAAGCCCTTGCTACGATAGGTAGAAAAGCAACATCCAATGTAAATATCATGAAAGGGCTCAGCGAAGTACTCCAGAACAACCATGATAATGTCAAACTAGCAGCTTGTGAAACTATCTGCAAGCTAGGTGAAAATGTAGCAAGGAATACTCAAGTAATGAACGAATTGTCCAAAATACTTATCGATGAGAACTTCGAGCTAAGAAAGATGGCTTGTGAAGCGCTTGGTAAAATTGGACAAAATGAGGAATTGAATGAGGAAGTCATTCAGAAGTTGGTGATGGCAATTAATGATGAAAACAGCCAGGTTAAAAGCAGAGCTCGTGAAACTTTCAATAAGATTGGTGAGAAAAAGTCGAATATAATGTTTCAGGCCTTGGTGAAATTTGAGATGTCTATGGAAGGTAGAGATGGCAGTCGCTATAGTGCCCATGTCTTCGACAGGATAGTATATCGCGTTGATAATATAGAATTATGGGATGCAAACTTCGTGCAGCAGGTTAAATCATATATCAAAAATAATAGTGCCGTTCATTGTCAAGGTTTTACCGTCAGTGAATTCGTGAAGCGTTATCTCGATTCCGGACAGGTTTACTGGCTTGAGTTGATAATATATCTCACTCTACTGCAAGGTATCGCAATAGCTTTCGATGGTGAAGACAAGATCATTTTTGGAGATGGTCGGCAATTAAATTTTCCACCAGAAAAAGTGCTGTTGGATCGAAACAAGAATTTGAAAACTGCATTCGAGAATCATATGAAGATGTTAAAGAACAAGACAAATTCACCAAAAAAAACTCATTCGTCTTTATGTGTTGTTTTGTAGCGTTCTTCGTATTCTAAAATATACTTTAACAGTGTGAATTATTTCTATTATTGAACAATTCGAATTTTATTCACCGATAATCATCGAGCTATAATTCTTAACTCTTAGTTCTCAGTTATCGACTAGCGCAATCAATGAAACAGTTCACACTGAGTATGCAAAAATATCAGAGATGATACACTGAAAAAAAAAGGTACCACACGAAACCTTTGAGGTTTCGTCGAGTTTTACTATACTATATAAGTATCAGTAGAATAATGCGAAACCTGCATGAGGTTTCGCGATATCCAAGGTTTCGTAAAAGACTTTAAAGAGTTTTAAAATATAAAAAGGTTTCGTCCGGAACCCTTCGAATTTTACGTTGCCACAGAGGTTTGGTCAAAAACTCTTTTGAGTTTCGTATTCAGAAGGGTTTCGTAATATTCCTTCTGTAGCATTCGTTCATCAGAAAGTTACTATTCAAAATAATAATTTCTTCCTCCTAGAGTTCAGAATTTTCGAAGAAGCACATTCACACTCATCGAGCGACTTCGTTTCGGAGTTTTTTTCCAATTTATCCAAGCTTGTCCCACTTTAAAAGCTATTGCC